ATTCATTTAATACCAATAGACTTACCCCAGTATCCAAAAGAAAGGAAATAATCTTACCAGATACTATCCCAATTACCCTGGGTTTTGTGGACTCACTAGATGTGGGGGCGAAGGATCCCAGGTACCCTCAGTCTTCCGTTGTCAGCACCAGCAGTGAAGAGATTTCCTCCTGTGATGGTTGGGGGGCTTCATTATGAGCAGCATCTGAATGGGGAAGATGTCCCTGTTGAGGGCATTCCATCGTCCAGTGTCCGCAAAGACTGCAAGTTGGGCATGGTTTGGTGGGAGACCAGGGGTTAGGACAAGCCTTTGCCCAGTGTCCAGGGTTGCCTCATTGAAAACAGACTCCTGAAGAGGTGGGGGAGTTTCCCTTTGGGTTATTAGGAGGCTTTTGTGTAATTGACTTTTGGACAGTGGAGGCAAGCATCTGGTATTTTAAATGGAGATGTTTGTCTTCTTGAATTTTTTGTTCCTCATGTCTGTTGTTAAAGACCCAGAAGGTTGCATTTAGGAGCTCCTGCCAAGATGTCTGAGGACCCTCCTCTAATTTTTGTAATTTTTTGTGGATATCTGGGGTGGATTGGGAAATAAATTGGAGGTAGAGAAAAGTTTGACCTTCTCTATATTCTGGATCCAAATTGGTATATTTTAGCATAGCTTCAATGAGGTGTGATAAGAAAAGGGCAGGGTTTTCCTGGTGCTCTTGTGTAATTTCTCTGAGCTTTTCAGAATTAACTGCCTTATAAGCATTTTTGTCCATGCCTGTGAGGAGACAGGTAATCATGTGGTCTCTTCACCTGATGCCATTGTCTCCCTGTTGGTAAGTCCAGTCTGGGCCTCTATAGGGGACTGCATCATTGGCCACTGGATTTTGTATAGGGGCTTGATTATGGAGTTCATCTGTGTGTGTTTCAGCTGACTGCCGGATGCGCTCTTTTTTGTCAGGGGTGAGGGTGGAGGTTAGAATTATATAAATGTCATGCCAAGTTAAATTAAAGGATTGGGTTATGTGCAGGAATTCCCTGTGATAGATTTTCAGAGAAAGATCCTAGACACTGTTCAATCTGTGACAAATCAGACATGGAGAAAGGGGATATGAACACAAGCAATGCCTTCAACCCTAGCGCCTTCCCAGAGAGGGAGAATGGCAGAGGTGGTTTGACTGGCTGGAGTAGTGTTTGAATGGGTATTGAGTGGAGAAGGATAAGGGTTGGGATTTGGCACTAAAGGCTGGGGGCAAGAGGGGCCAAAGAGATGGAGGGTTTGGATGGGCAAGAAATGGATGCAGGGGTTGAGAGTATGGAGGGAGTTCATCTGCAGGGTCAAAGGGGATTTCAGGGGAAGAGGTTTCAGAGGGAGGAGAGACCCAGGGAGGTTTTCATTAAGAAGAAGGATTTCACGAGGGGTGCAAGCTTGACATAAGGAGGGTTGGGATTTAAGGTAGAAGGAAGCCTGAATATAGGGAACCTCTTGCCATTTGCCATTCCTGGTTATAAAGTTGTCAAGGTCCCTGAGAATTTGAAAGTCAAAGGTGTCATTTTCAGGCCATCGGCTGTCATTATCTAATTTGTATTGGAGCGAGGCCATGTTGCAATGAAAAATTAAACACTTTGACTTTAGGTTCCCCCATAAGCCAAGTTTGGTGAGGTTGTGAAGGAGACAGTCCAGTGGGGAAGACATAGGAATGTGGAATTGTTTGGCACCCATGTGGACTGATAAGAGGAGGCCGAGAGTATCTGTTTTTGTTCTAGGCATCCCCAGACAAAAGACAGAGACCTGGAATCCTCTTTATAAAGAGGACAGTTAAGCTGAGAAGAAACTGAGCATCCCCAAGATTTCTTCAACTTAGTCCCACTGGTCCTCCAAGGACCAGGACGGCAGACCTGACTTTCCCAGGTACTGTGAGAAAGCTAGGAAAGGCAAATCTTACCGGTTGGCTGGATTAGTGTCTGATGTTGGATGTTCTGGTTGGAATCAGTAAAGGGCCTCCTGGACTGGAGCCACATGAGGAAGAGAGAGAGAGAGAGAAGAGGGAGGAAGAATGGACAAGGGTTAGAGAGCAAAATACCTGTTGCAGGCAGTCAAGGTGGATTCCTGAGACCTGAGGGTTTTGAGAACCCACTGGAGAGTAGCCCCAGCCCAAGCCTCACAGTCCCCTTCAGATTAGTTATCCACCTCATGCAAATTGCTTGAAAAGTGAAGAGAGAGAAAAGACGTGACAGGTGGCCAGAGACCCTCAGGACCCAGGAGTTATCTCGGGACAAACTGACGCTGCCCACTGCTTCCTGGGTTGCAAGAGTTGAAGAAAGAAGAAGGAAACTTGAAAAGTGGCTGAACAGTCAAAGACAGGTTTATTTTAGAGAATAAACCTGAGAGGGGCTTCTGGCTGATTTTGGTCAGGAACATTCTCTCTTACAGACTAAGGGTACTTAAGGATTTAGGGAGGGAGAGCTTATCACAGGTTCAGAATGTTTCTGGGTAGAGGAGAGTTTTATTGTGGGGTTGGAATGTCTGGTCAGAGGGGAGGTTATCTCAGGGTTGGCATGTCTCTGGTCGGAGGGGATTTATCTCAGGTTTGGAAGGTTTCTTGTCAGAGGTGTCATTTGTCGTTTATGGTCATGCTGACATTAGCCATTAGGCTGATGTTTTGGGGCTGGATTTAGGCAGTTTTTAATCAAGGGGAACTTAAAATAGCGGTGCTTGTCCAAGATGGCAGTGCTCCTGTTCTGTCAAAGATGGAATTGTGAAATAGAATTTGTTTGAAGATACATTTGTTCATTCAACAGAAGTTTCTTGAGGGCCCATTATAAGGCTAAATTATATTTCCACCTGAACAGTTTAATTGACGTTGCACTGTCTGGCCCACAGTGGATCATGGCTCTTGGAGAAGTAATATTTAGACAGATCCAAATTGAATGTGGTAATTGTAGATCTTTGTGATGCTTATGTGGACTTCTCTGACATCTGTATAAGTTATTAATATTGAAAACAAGTACTCCTATAAATCAATGATTAAAAAAAATACTTCTGCAGGAATTAGAATTGATCCACTTGAATCTGTTTTCTACTTTCTAGCTCCATACCAGATTTCACTTGAAAAAAATGTCTGCTCTGCTATAGACAGTATGTTTGGATTTAAAATGAAATGTCTGAAACAATGGAGGCCTGTTTGCATCGGGGAGCATTGAATATAAAAGTTTAGAAAACAATACAGAATCAAATATTTATTAAGCACTCGATATAGAATTGGCACTGTGCTGGGCATCAGGTTTATGGTAGGAACAAATAAAATGGACCCTGTTGTCATGGAGTTTCATGGGGATGACCAACTTTAAATAAACAATTACATGAGCAGGCCAAGCACAGTGGCTCATGCCTGTAATCCCAGCACTTTGGGAGGCTGAGGTGGACGGGTCACTTGAGGTTAGGAGTTTGAGACCAGCCTGGCCAACATGGTGAAACCCCGTCTCTACTAAAAATACAAAAATTAGCAGATGTTGTGGCACACACCTGTAGTCTCAGCTACTTTGGAGGCTGAGGCAGGAGAATTGCTTGAATCCAGAGGGCAGAGATTGCAGTAAACGGAGATCGCACCACTGTATTCCAGCCTGGGTGACAGAGCAAGATCCTGTCTCAAAAAAAGAAAAAAAAAATCTGCAGGAACAAACTATGGTCAGAGCTGTGAAGGGAAAGCAATGGCATGGAGAGAAATGAAAGCAGGGGTGAGGCGAGGTTTCTCTGGGGTCACAATTGTGAGGAGGCCTAAAGGATGAGTGGGCACAGAGCAGTGGGTGCTAGGTGGAAGGAAGGACATGTGAGAAGGTGAAAGTGGAAAAGGTGATGTCAAAGTTCGAGAACAGTCAGAAGAGCATGTGTTTTGAGTGCAATGAGCAGGGGCACAGTGCCTTGAGATGAGGGTGCTGAGGAGACAGGGTCCTCCTCATCTGGCACCTTATAGCCCATTTAAGGGCTTTTTGTTTTTGTCAAATGCAAAGGTTGGCTATTGGAGAGTTTCGGCAACAGAGAGACATAGCTAGACTCAGTTTTCATCCCTCTGGTTGCTGTGTGGGTCATAGATTGGAGTAGGGGAAGAGAGGAAGTGGGGATCCAGTTAACAAGCTACTGCCATGGCCTAGTGGAAGCATGGACTGGGGTGAAGATGTTGGAGGCAGAGGAAAGTGGGCAGATACCAGCAATGTGTTTTGGAGGTAGAATTGACAGGTCTTAATTATGGAACACGAAGCTTGAGGGAGAAGAGAAAACCAAGTAGAAACCTAGGCAGACTTAGAGCATATGCCCATTTCTCTTATAACAGCTTGATGATGTTAGCTGTGGAGCACCATATAGCAATTCCTTTGAACATTTTGTGTTTGTGATAGGATTTTTATCATGGCTTTTTTTTCCTGTTTTTGTTGTTGTTGTTGTTGTTGTTTTGTTTTGTTTTGTTTTTGTGTTTTTGAGAAGGAGTTTCGCTCTTATCGCCTAGGCTAAAGCACAGAAGTGTGATCTTGGCTCACTGCAACCTCTACCTCCCAGGTTTGAGCGATTCTCCTGCCTCAGCCTCCTGAGTAGCTGGGATTACAGGCGCTTGCCACCACACCTGGCTAATTTTTGTATATTTAGTAGAGACGGGGTTTCACCATGTTGGCCAGGCTGGTCTTGAACTCCTGACTTCAGGTGATCCACCCGCCTTGGCCTACCAAAGTGCTGGGATTACAGGCATGAGCCAATGCACCCGGCCTTATCATGGCTTTTGAAAAGCCGGGAGTTCACTGTGACTGCCAGGGGAGATATGCTGTGTTGGACTCGCCCTGGGAGGAGTGAGAGGACTACTCTTTGTGAGTCAAGAGTTTCTGCCAAGTGGATCTTTCTTATTCAGAAGGAGAGAGTCATAGTTGTTATACTGTCCATTTCACAAGTGACATTAAAGAGAAAGGAGTGGGGAGGCGAGGAGGGGGTGAGCATAAAATGTCAAAATAACCGTGGTTTTTATCTTTAAGGTTTGGCACAGATTTTGAAGAAATAGAATTCATTAGCGTGGGTGGATTTGGCCAAGTTTTCAAAGCAAAACACAGAATTGACGGAAAGACTTACGTTATTAAACGTGTTAAATATAATAGCAAGTAAGTAGTAAATGTTTAAATTTTTTGAATGGCAAGATATGCTGAATCTGCACTATTTCTTTTTATGCTTCTCTCTTCTTTATTAGGATATCATTTATTTATTTCTCATACTCATTAAACATTTCATTCTACCAAGAGGAGTTTGGCTTACTCCAAGATGATATCACTTTACTGTGGTTATTTCAATAAAAATGGTATACCATTGATCATCCTTTCGGTGCTATCTTCAGAACTAAAGCTGTAGAGTCATTTGCTTTAAAGTGGCATGCAAATTCATGAAACGCTCCATATTTTAAAAACCGTGGCACCAAATAGAACCTTCATTACCCACAAAAAAGGTGATCTTTGAGATGTTCTAGTTTTACCTCCCTATTTTACAGGTGAGGAGACTAAGATCCAGAGATGTAAAGTGATTTTGTCTAAGATAAAAGCTAGATGGTAATTGTTCTCTGGTTGTCTATTATTGTATAAGGCACTGCTCCAAAATGCAGTGGCTTAAAAACAGCAATTTATTGTTATCTCTGATGGTTTCATGGGTTGATTGTGCTCATCTGGACAATTCTCACTTGGGGTCTCAGAGGCATTTGCAGTCAGTAGTCAGCTGAAACCTTGACTACAGCCTATCCTAGGCTGGATATCCAAGCTAGCTAGCAGTTGACACTGGCTGTGGGCTGGAAGTTCAGATGGGACTGTGAACCAGAATACCTCCACATGCCCTCTCTGTGGGGACTGGGCTTCTTACAACTTAGTGGCTGGGTTCCAAGAACTATTGTCCCCAGAACAAGTCATCCAAGAGACCAGGAGTGAGTGGCAAGGCTTCTTTTGACCTAGTCAGAAGAGTTCCAGAACATCACTACCATTAAGTTGTATTGGTTAAACAAGTCACTGGAGCTAGCTTAGATTCAAGGTGGGGGAGGTGGCAAATAGGCTCTACCCATTAATTTAAGGAGTGGAAGCATGTATGGGAGGATAAAGAATTGATCAAGATTATCTTTGGACATGATCTCCTATGTAATCAGATTGGGATTTAGAACTCATCCCCTGGAATGACAATTCAATGTGTTCCCACTGTAACCCACTGCTTCCAACATTTGTTTTCTGTATTATCTGCCCTCTCACTCCCACTGGATAGCAGAACTCCTTCAGGAAGGAAAACAAATAGAAAGGAGGTCTTAAATCACATGGTCACCAATTCACCAATCTTGCTTGTTGCACTCTGGCAATTGTTACTGTGTGTAGCTTGGCCAGACCAATCTGATCCCTCAAAGACTAGCAAAGGAGATGGGAAAGGGATCTGGGCTAAGAAAAATGATATGTGCAAAGGAGAGGTAGGTGTGGAGTGCTGGATGTTCTTAGCCTAGTTAAACAAACCTATTTCTTCTCTCATGGACGATGCCTTACATTTGAAGTAGGATCATTCCTACTGTGTTCATTGTTTTATTTAACAAGAATGAAGGACAGCTGTACTGTTATTCTTTCCATTAGATAGCAATTTTTAAAAATGGTAATAATATCCCAGCTACTTGGGAGACTGAGGTGGGAAGATTGCTTGAGGCCAGGAATTTGAGACCAGCCTGAGCCACATAGTGAGACCCAGTGTCAAAAAAGAAAAGAAAAAACAATGAGGGCTGGGCATGGTGGCTCACACCTGTAATCCCAGCACTTTGGGAGGCTAAGGTGGGCAGATTACTTGTGGTCAGGAGTGTAAGACCAGTCTGGTCAACGTGGTGAAACCCTGTCTCTACAAAAATACAAAAATTAGTCAGGCGTGGTGCCACACACCTGTAATCCCAGCTGCTTGGGAGGCTAAGGCAGGAGAATTGCTTGAACCCGGGAGGTGGAGCTTGCAGTGAGCTGAGATCACACCACTGCACTCCCGCATGGGCAACAGAGTGAGATTCCATCTCAAAAAAAAAATAAAAGATAATTATGTTGATGAAGGTCCAGTATCTTGGCCATTTCTAGTAGTTTATACATTGGTACAACTACTAGGAAAAAATATATATATATGTGTATATATATATTTTTTGAGGCAGAGTCTCACTCTGTCGCCCAGGCTAGAGTGCAGTGGTGCATTCTCAGCTCACTGCAACCTCCGTCTCCCGGGTTCAAGCAATTCTTTGCCTCAGCCTCCCAAGTAGCTGGGTTTACAGGTGCCCAGCACCATGCCTGGCTAATTTTTGTGTTTTTAGTAGAGACAGGGTTTCGCCATGTTGGCCAGATGGTCTCGATCTCTTGACCTTGTGATCTGCCTGCCTTGGACTCCCAAAATGCTGGGATTACAGGCGTGAGCCACCACACCTGGCCCAGCCAGTTATTTTTAATGGCTGCAAAATAGCCATTGATCAGGGGACAGAACAAAATATATTTACTCATTTCTTTACTGCCGAATATTTTGCTTGTTCTAATTTTTCATTGTTAATTGAATGACACCATGATTTATATCTTCTTGGATATAAATCCATAATTTGAGTAACATTCTTTTTTTTTTTTTCTTTTTTTGGAGATAGAGTCTCACTCTGTCACCCAGGCTGTAGTGCAGTGGTGTGTTCATGGCTGGGCGCAGTGGCTCATGCCTGTAATCCCAGCACTTTGAGAGGCCAAGGCTGGCAGATCACTTGAGGTCAGGAGTACAAGACCAACCTGGGCAACATGGCAAAACCCTGTCTCTACAAAAAAAATATAAAAACTAGCCAAGTGTGGTGGTGTGTGCCTGTGGTCGTAGCTACTTGGGAGACTGAGGTGGGAGGATCGCTTGAGCCATAGGGGTGCAGGTTGCAGTGATCCAGGATCACCACTGCACTCCAGCCTGGGTGACAGAGTGAGACCCTGTCTTAAAAAAAAAAAAAAAGAAAGAATCTAAAATAATACAGATTATTTTAGGATTGTCAAAGTATCAGTATTTTTTTTTTATTTTTGCAAATTTTATGTCATATAGTTTAGAACTTCTTGTGTTAAAAAATAAAATTGTAAAATGTTTGATTATCCTTCCTCATCTTTGAAATCTCCAATTTATTTACTGCATTTAGCATGAAATTGTCTTAGGTCTTGGCAACACATCCCTATAAAGCCTCCCACCATCTCACTTTCTCTGCATAAGTTATCCTCTTTGTGTATATTTGCCACACATTGAAAATCCTGAATTAGGTACTTCACGCTGCCTGTGTTACTTAGCCTTGCTGCCTCAACGTGATTTGCTTGTGAAATCCAAAGATTTTAACACAAGTCTAAGCAAAACATAATGTGTGATTTAGCTATGAAAAATTGCATCAGCTGGGTCCAGTGGCTCATGCTTGCAATCCCAGCACTTTGGGAGGCTGAGGCGAGTGGATTGCTGGAGTCCAGGAGTTTGAGACCAGCATGGGCAGCATGGCAAAACCCCATCTCTACAGAAAATAGAAAAAATTAGATGGGTCTGGTGGTGTGCTCCTGTGGTCCCAGCTACTCAGGGGACTGAGGTGGGAGGACTGCTTGAGGATAGGAGGCTGAGGCTGCAATGAGCCAAGGTCGTGCCACTGCACTCCAACCTGGGTGACAGAGCAAGACCCCATCTCAATAAAATTAATTAATTAATTAATTAAAATGGCATCACTGGCATTTCAAGAGTGCTAAAGAAGATTTTTAAATTCTCTGATGTTTGGCATTAAGTCGCTGCCTTTTATTTATTTATTTTGAGACATAGTCTTGCTCTGTCACCCAGGTTGGAGTGCAGTGGTGTGATCTTGGCTCACTGCAACCTCCGCCTCCCAGGTTCAAGTGATTCTTCTGCCTCAGCCTCCCAAGTAGCTGGGATTACAGACGTGCACCACTGTGCCCAGCTAATTTTTTTATATTTTTAATAGAGATGGGTTTCACCATGTTGGTCAGGCTGATCTTGAACTCCTGACCTCGTGATCCACCCGCCTTGGCTTCCCAAAGTGCTGGGATTACAGGCATGAACCACTGTGCCCAGATGCTGCCTTTTATTTTATCTTGAGAGTGAGAACAGCTATGTTTTTTTTGCAGTATGTTCACTTTTTCCTTTTGAATGTCCTGGCTTCCATTCTAAAACTGTGTGAGAACCACAGCAATGGTTTAATAAAGGAATGTAGACAGTTGTCTGTTACATGAGGTGTTTTGTGGTTGTTATGTGGGATGTACACTGACACTGCCATGTTCCCTGTTCCTTTTAACTAGGAAGGCAGAGCGTGAAGTAAAAGCATTGGCAGAACTTGATCATGTAAATATTGTACACTACAATGGCTGTTGGGATGGACTTGATTATGATCCTGAGATCAGTGCTTATGATCCTGAGAGCCCTGATTTTGATCCTGAGAACAAAAAAAATAGTTTAAGGTAACTAACTAAAAACAAATTCTCATAGCCATAATAGGATGGAAGGAAATTGTTATTTACTATGTGTGGGCCACTGGATAAGGCCATTAATTATCACAATTAATAATCGCAGTTCCCTCTGAGAGACACTGTTATCTCTCCGTTCCACAGGTAAGGAGAAAGTGAAAATCTCTTTCTTGTTCCTCCTCTTGCTGCACACTTGCTCTCACAACCCTTTGTTACATCCTCACCTGTCTTCAAAATCTCAGGTTCAGCTTTCCTGACTCCATTGTTTAATGGAGAGCCTTGTTCACGTGCCAGCTTCAGGGCAGGCTGTAGTGTAGTCTTGTGAAGAGAGTTTTAACATAATAGATGCTGCATCTGGGGGCTCCTTCCTCAGCTACCAACACTTTTCTGTCCCTCTCTTAGGCTGTGATTGGTGTGGTGCAGTCAAAGGTTCTCTTTGGAATGTAACTATACCACTTATGCTGGGGTGATGGGCAGTGAAAATATTTTTAAGACCACAAAGTGAGATGGGGCACCCTCATGTTTCATGTCAGTTAAGCCACTGCCAAACAACTGGAGATCCTAAAGAGCTGGCGTCTGTCTTTGAAAGTCACCCAACCTATTATGGGAACAGTCCTCTCACTAAAATCCTGAGGCCAATGGGGTCCTGTTCATTCATTTTCTCCTGCCCCACCTCCATCTCCATGTCGTGTAATGGAGAACTTTACCATCAGTTCAGGAGTTATTGACCATCAGCATACAGGACTTTAGTTTTCAGCAAATTCTTGGCTACCTCTTCCTGTTTTCAAGCCAACATATATACAAAGAATATAAATGAATATTGAGGCTAACTTAATTCAGAAAAAAAAAAATAGAAATCAATCCTCCAATTTATATCTCTTAGTAATTTGTTGGCACTTCTCCTAGAGTAGTACCTTTCCTATTGTTTTAGGTTTGCTTTCTCTTTACTCTCTCCTATTAAACTATTATCCCCATGATGGCAAGGATAGTGTCTAACTCATTTTCTCATCTCTAGGTGCTTTTCATGATCAGTAGATGGAGGGTGAATTAAAAGGTTTCAAAATTACTTTATATAATAATGAAATTTAGTTTCCTGCAACTGTATTGTATTCGTGTTCCTATTTCTATCTGTTAGCAAAGGTGATTGCAGATCTTCAGCAATAAAGAATGGGTGGCTCGAATGCAGTGGCGAAATCTTGGTTCACTGCAAGCTCCGCCTCCTGGGTTCATGCCATTCTCCTGCCTCAGCCTCCGGAGTAGCTGGGACTACAGGCGCCCACCACCACACCCGGCTAACTTTTTGTATTTTTTAGTAGAGACGGGGTTTCACCGTGTTAACCAGGATGGTCTTGATCTCCTGACCTCATGATCCACTAGCCTCGGCCTCCCAAAGTGCTGGAATTACAGGCATGAACCACTGTGCCCGGCATCTTCTTTTTTCTTTTTGAGACAGAGTCTTACTCTGTCGCTCATGCCAGAGCTCAATGGCATGATCTCAGCTCACTGCAACCTCTGCCTTCTGGGTTCAAATGACTCTTGTGCCTCATCCTCCTGAGTAGCTGAGACTACAGGTGCCATGCCACCACACCCAGCTAATTTTTATATTTTTAGTAGAGATGGGGTTTTGCCCTGCTGCCCAGGCTGATCTCAAACTCCTGAGCTCAAGCAATCCGCCAGTCTCAGCCTCCCAAAGTGCTAGGATTATAGGTATGAGCCACCGTGCCCGGTCCGGCTCATATTTTATAAATCAGCTAAACAAATAAAGCTCTGGACATCTGGAAACTTATGATTGAAATAAAAAATGGCCTGTTATATTTTGATTCAAATTTGTTTATTGTATTTAGATTTCTATTTTGAGACATGTTTTGGGGTTCTTAAGATAAGGTATAAGCTTTTAAAAGTTATGTATTTTTTATAAATTTATATTTATTGTTACTTTTAACATACTATGAATTTTATACCCAGATCAAAGACTAAGTGCCTTTTCATCCAAATGGAATTCTGTGAAAAAGGGACATTGGAGGAATGGATTGAAGATAGAAAAGGCAAGAAACTAGACAAAGTTTTGGCTTTGGAACTCTTTGAACAAATAACAAAAGGGTTGGATTATATACATTCAAAAAATATAATTCATAGAGATCTTAAGGTAAGTGGAAAAATGTACTTTATTAATTGATACATATATATATATATAAAATTTAGTAATTTTAAAATATATCTTCTCAGCAGGGCACAGTGACTCACGCCTGTAATCCCAGCACTTTGGGAGGCTGAGGCAGGCAGATTACCTGAGGTCATGAGTTTGAAACCAGCCTAGCCAACATGATGAAACTCTGTCTCTACTAAAAATACAAAAATTAGCTGGGCATGATGGTGTGCACCTGTAATCCCGGCTACTCGGGAGGCTGAGGCAGGAGCATCACTTGAACCTGGGAGGGGAGGTTGCAGTGAGCCGAGATTGCTCCACCGCACTCCAGCCTAAGTGAAGAGTAAGACTTGTCTCAAAAAAAAAAAAAAAACAAAATAAAATAAATAAATATATATAATATATTTATAATTTATAATTATAATATATATAAAATATATATAATAATATATATAAATATACACACATATATATACACACACACATATATATACACACATACACATATATACACATATATATACACACACACACACACATAAAATAAGATAGATACATTTTTTCTCTAGTTTTAGAATAGTGGTTGATTGGTAGTTACGAGAAAATGATATCTGAACATTTCCATGCAAATGATTACTGTGACTGGCACAGCCAACTGACTGCTCTGTCCCTGCTCCTCCTGCCTCCTCTAAGTGACTCAGGCTTATTCGAGAGGCAGAGGGGACTCTGCTGACTGTGGCTTTAGGAATATGATTCCATAATCTCTCAGTCATTACTCTTGAGGGCTGTCACAGCTACTGGGTCCAGAGTCTAATATTGTCTTGGTTAAACATTTCGACCCCATGATTGGAAAGTTGCAGTAATCCCAGACTGGGAAAGTGTATCATCCCTTAGTATTTTCATTTTCCTCTGGCTTTTATGGTCTGGACAAGGAGTTTCCCTATTTTTACTTCTCATCAAAATGACAGAAGGTAAGAGGCAGAGCAGCCCTTCACAGCCTTTCTTCCATTCCCTATTCCCTGTGACTTGCCTAGCCTGTCATGAGCTGGCCATCCTGAATTCTGTCCCTGGACCTTTGCTCATGCTCTTCTCTCTTATGGAATATACACTTCTGCCTGTCCCCTTTGCTTGTAATTCCTTTACTGAGCCTTTCCTGATCACTCTAGAACTGCCTTTTCCTGTTCTAGGCAGAAGTACCTCATTTATGTGACTAACTGCTTACCCTACCCCTCTAAAACAGCCAGGGATAAGGAATGAAACAAAAAATTCCTTGAGAGAAATAAGTGCCTATATATACAGTTGTTATTGGGCTCAGATAGGAATGAGTAGTCCTTAAAAGGTATTACTTCCGTGGTCTGCCCAGGGGCTGGATGTCTGATGCATTGGTGTTTTGAGTCTGCCTGGTTCCAGTATGTCTATTCTACAATACCTGAAGTTATTATTTGAAGTTGGAACATTGTCAGGACTATTTAAAAAGGATAAATGTAGAGTTGGTCATGCTTTCACTTTGGGATAAATCATATATATAGTTAAATAACAAGCACAATTATTTCTATATACAATAATTTGCAAATAAATGCAGAAGTGTAGGCATTAAGTTCCTCGTCCTCAGAATGAATTAGCAAAATTCTGACTGGCGCCTACCCACTTACCTACCAATTATGCCCTGCACTGTATGTACCCTGTGTCATGGACTGATCTTTTCTTGTGTATATTTGCAGAGAATTTTTGCTCTTGCTGCGGTTGCTCAAGGGTCAGACTTTATTATTATTCTTAAATTTTTATTTTATTATTATTTTTTTTTGAGACAAGGTCTTGCTGTTTTGCCCAGGCTAGAGTGCAGTGGCACGATCACGGCTCGTTACAGCCTTGACCTCCTGGGCTCAAACAGTCCTCCCACCTCAACCTCCTGAGTAGTTGGGACCACAAGTGTGCACCACCACACCTGGCTAATTTTTTTGTGTTTTTGTAGAGACAGGGTCTCACCATGTTGCCGAGGCCGGTCTCAAACTTTTAGACTCAAAGCGATCGTCCTGCCTCAGCCTCCGAAAGTGCTGGCATTCCAGGTGTGCTCCACTGTACCCGGCGTGAAGCTTTGATATTGAGACTTCTTTCATCTTGTATAACTTTTCCAGCTCTCACTACTACAGTTGTTGATTTATCTCCTTTAAGAAAAGATACAATGAAGATGTACACTTTTTGGGTTATGCTTTGCAAAACAGTAGCTGTAGGTAGTTTTGCCAGGAAATGGTCTTTACCCAATGTGGCCCCTCTTACAAAAGTCTCCAAGTGTTTAACCAGTTTCTGTTGGAATCTTAGGAACTAGACCAAAGGCACTGAGAAGGGACATAGGGGTTTCTGGAGTGAGGACTTCTTCTTTTTTTTTTTTTTTTTGAGACAGAGTCTCGCTCTTTTGCCCAGGCTGGAGTGCAGTGGCCGGATCTCTGCTCACTGCAAGCTCCGCCTCCCGGGTTCACGCCATTCTCCTGCCTCAACCTCTCGAGCAGCTGGGACTACAGGCGCCCGCCACCTCGCCCGGCTAGTTTTTTTTTTTTTTTTTTTGTATTTTTTAGTAGAGTCGGGGTTTCACCGTGTTAGCCAGGATGGTCTCGATCTCCTGACCTCGTGATCCACCCGTCTCGGCCTCCCAAAGTTCTGGGATTACAGGCTTGAGCCACCGCGCCCGGCCGAGGACTTCTTATCCAAGGCTGCTTCTCTCTAAAATGTTCAGTCTCCTAAAGCCCAGGCTCTGGTCATCTTCAGCCTGAGCATCAGCTCTGTTCCTGTGCCTCCTATGTGAAGTTTGTACCCCTTTTTATGCTCTTCAACCCCATATTTTGTCTAGTCATGTTATAACTGATTAGATAAAATGTGACATTATTGTTTTTATTTATTTTGTTTTTTGTTTTTTTGAGACAAGGTCTCGCTCTGTTTGTTGCCTAAGCAGGAGTGCAGTTGCATGATCTCAGCTCGCTGCAGCCTCAACCTCCTAGGCTCAAGCAATCCTCCAACCTCAGCCCCCCACATAGCTGGGACTACAGGCACAGGCTACCAAGCCAGGCTATTTTTTGATATTTTGTAGAGACAGGATTTCGCCATGTTGCCCAGGCAAGTCTTGAACTCCTGAGCTCAAGTGATCTGCCAACCTTGGCCTCCCAAAGTGTTGGGATTGTAGACATGAGTGGCAGTGGAGTGATCTCAGCTCACTGCAACTTCTGTCTCCCGGGTTCAAGCAATTCTTCTGCCTCAGCCTCCCGAGTAGCTGGGATTCCAGGCCACCACGCCTGGCTAAGTTTTTGTATTTTTAGTAGAGACAGGGTTTCACCATGTTGGCAAGGTTGGCCTTGAACTTCCGGGCTCATGCGATCTGCCTGCTTCAGCCTCCCAAAGTGCTGGGATTACAAGCATGAGTCACTTCGCCTGGCCCACTTTTTCTTTTTAATGAACTATAAAAAGTGATCTGATATTTTTACTAGATAGCCTCATCCAGCTTAGATATTTACATGGCTTCATGCATTCAATTTTCTCTTTCTTAGAGTCAGGTGATAGCCTTATGTGGGACTAGCAGTTCCACTTGCAATCCCAGCATATTCTTACACTGCAACTTGAACACAGCATAGGAATATTTTCTCTCCACATCCACCTCACATCTGTCTACAGCTTTCCATCTGTATTATTGGTGTTAGGCTCCAATCAGACTGTTAATTGAATTCTAATCCAACTGCTAATTGCTGCATGAGCCATCATCTCAGGCTGGCTTCTCGGAAGCTCCTTCAGCCTTCCCTGGGCTTGTGGTCTCTTCCCTCTCAGGTACTTACTAGGTAGACCCTCTCATAAGTGCATTATCCCATAGAGTCTGTGCGTATAGCCTAACATTGTATTAAAAGTCCAGCCTTTTCAAAAATAGCAAAATACTAATTTTCTCATCAACTACCTTCCTGTTTTTATGGTCTTTAGAATATTGGTCAGTATAGCTGGGTGTGGTGGCCTGTGGTCCCAGCTACTTGGGAGGCTGAGGTGGGAGGATCGCTTGAGCCGAGGAAGTTGAGGGTGCAGTGAGCCATGATCATGCCACTGCAATCCATCCTGGATGACAAAATGAGACCGTGTCTCAAAAACAAACAAAAAGAATATTGGTCAGTACCTCCTATGACCTGGGCATGGTGGCTCATGCCTGTAATCTCAGTACTTTGGGAGGCTGAGGTGAGCGGATCACTTGAGATTAGGAGTTTGAGACCAGCCTGGCCAACATGGCAAAAACCCATCTCTACTAAAAATACAAAAAAATTAGCCAAGCATTGTGGCACATGCCTGTAATCCCAACTCCTCGAGAGGCTGAGGCGGGAGAACTGCTTGCACCCAGGAAGCAGAGGTTGTGGTGAGCCGAGATCATGCCGCTACACTCCAGCCTGGGCAACAGAGCGAGACTCCATCTTACAAAACCAAACAAAACCCCTCCTATAAAGCCGTCGAGTCAGAATGACTACTTCTATTCTGTCCTTCCTTTAAAAAACAAAAAATCTGCTTAAAGAATTGCATGGATAAAAATATTTCAGAGCTAGTCATTAGCTTCCAATAAACTTGGTATGCCTTCACGGTGGAAGGGATATGTTTGTTAAGAAGTTGTCAGAGGCTTGGAGAAAAGACCCCCAGGAGAAATTCTGCACAGGTTAATCTGCAGTATTGTTGGGAATAGAACCATTCTGAGAATCTCAAAGTTGGAAGGGGTCTTAAGGATGTCTACTTCAGTCCCTATCAGATCGTGGACTCATATTTGCAACATTTCCTCTAGTGGTTGTTCAGCCCTATCTTGGGATGGGGAACTGTCTAACTCTCATTCTTTGGACAATACTATTAGGATATTAGGATATTTTAAAGCTAATCTTTAGGTCATTTCCACCCTATAGTCCTGGATCTTTTCCCTTGGACCATGCAGAGTGAATCCACCTTTCTATGTATAATGAAGACATGTGGTAATAGTATGTCAAGTTGGTACATGTAAGTTAAATTTTTTTTTTTCATAGCCAAGTAATATATTCTTAGTAGATACAAAACAAATAAAGATTGGAGACTTTGGACTTGCAACATCTCTGAAAAATGATGGAAAGCGAACAAGGAATACGGGAACTTTGCGATACATGAGCCCAGAACAGGTAAGGTCTCTTTCCTGTCTCTCTATATTTTACTTATTTTATTTTAAAAATTATAAAAAGAGTAGACACTTCTTATATAATTAAAACAGTCCAGAAGTATATACTGAAAATTTCCCTTACCATTCTCTTCCACCCTTATCCTTCTCATCAGTTTATTCTTTATCCTTTTAGATAATTTTTTAAGTTATAAAAACATACAAACACAAATATACACCCAGACTTCTTTTTTACATAAACATTTATGTGCATACATTTTTTCAAGGACTTATTTTGTTATTTTGTGACTATATAGCATAATCTCTCCGTATTAGTTCCAATAGATCTGCCACATTCTTTTCTTAGCAACTGTATTGTATTTCAAAATATAGAGATACCATAATTTAAATCTTTTTAAAATTTAATCGTATTTTTTTGTTCTTATTTTGTTTTAGAGACAAGGTCTTGCTCTGTCACCCAGGCTGGAGTGCAGTGGTATGATCATTGCTCACTGCAGTCTCAAAATCCTGGGCTCAAGCAGTCTTCCCACCTCAGCCTCCTGAGTAGCGAGGACTAGAGGTGCATACCACTGTGCCCAGCTAATTATTTTTATTTTAATTTTTATTATTTATTTATTGTAGAGACAGGGTATCACTATGTTTCCCAGATTGTATTTCACAATTATCGAAGGGTATTTATTTAGGTTGTTTACAACTTCATAAACTTATGGACATTCCTCCTTATTTTGGATCCCAAGAACAAATAATTCTATGATAATCTGTGATAGATTTCTTGAGGTAAAGTGATTGAATAGATTGACAACTGCATTTCAAACTGAATTGCTGTTTAATTGTCATTCCAAAAATAGTGATTCTATTAATACTCTCCCCTCAAAATGTATGAGATTGCTGCATCATCATACTCTCCAGTGGTCAGTTTTGGGCAGTATGTTGAATTAGGAGTATCTTGCTCTTTTAGTTTGTATTTTCCAGATTTTTAGTAAAGTATGCCCTCTTTTCATATATTTACTTATACATTTTCTGCAAATTCTCTACTCCTATCCTTTCCCAATTTCTCATAATTAAGTTCTCTTTTTCTCATGTATCGGTAAGGAATCTTGATATATATTGGGTGTTGATTCCTTATCTGTTAACTATATTATAGAATTTTTCTCCTTGATTGTTACTTCTTGTTTATAACGCCTTTTTTTTTTTTTTTTTTTTTTTTGAGACGGAGTTTTGCTCTATGATGTCACCAAGGCTGGAGTGCAATGGCTTGATCTCAGCTCACGGCAACTTCTGCCTTCCGGGTTCAAGCAACTCTCCTGCCTCAGTCTCCCAAGTAGCTTGAATTATAGGCACCCACCACCATGCCCAGCTAAGTTTTGTATTTTTAGTGAAGACGGGTTTCACTATGCTGGCCAGGCTGGTCTCGAACTCCTGACCTCAGGTGATCCACCTGCCTCGGCCTCCCAAAGTGCTGGGGTTACAGACATGAGCCACCAAACCTGGCACTGCAGCTTTTAAATTGTCATATTTATCAATACTTTCTTTACTGCTGTAAGGTTTCTCATTTTTATTTTGGAGGCTTCTACTACAAGATTATGAAAATATTTTATGGTCTTACTAACATAAAAATAAACTGCAATTTGAATTAACTTTTGTGTATGTATGAGAAAGGAATATAACTTGATTTTCCCCCTGTGAATATACTGTTGCTTCATCACTATGTGTTAAGCAGTTCATTATTTAAATGCTATTTTAAGGAAAATTTATAGAGACAGAAAGTGGAACAGAGGTTATCTGGAGGAAGGGAAGAATGGGAACTTCTTGTTTAATGAGTATAACTTCTGTTTGGGATGATGAAAAGCTCTGGAAATAGATAGTGGTTATACAACATTGTGAAGGTAGTTAATGCCACTGAATTGTAGGCATAAAAATGGTTAAAAGGGTGAATTTTATGTTATGTCTATTTTACCACAATATTATTTTACGATATATAAAATTCCCACACATTCAGAGATGTGTTTCTGGACTTTGTTCTGTTTCACTGATTTATTTTTTATTTCTCTTTTTAATATTATGCTATTTAGATTATTATAGCGTTATAAACTAGGCTTTAGTATTCAAACAGCAGGACCTGCCACATTACTCTTCAATTTAAAAATGCTCTTAACTGTTCACATTTACCATTCCAAATGAACTCTTGAATCACCTTGTCATCTTCCGTAACTGGTTTTGAGGTTTTGATAGCAATTGCATCAGATTTGAGGATTCAGGTGAGGAACATTGATATCCTTATATATTTGAGACTTCTCCAAAATTGGTATTTTCCCTCACTTATTCAAGTCATCCATCAGTCAGCTTTTGCCAGACTATGCTGTGGTAACAAATGACCCCGGTTTCTTAGTGGGGCAAAAAATACGAAGGGTCTATTTCTTGCTCACATGACAAGTCGGCAGCAATCTGTCTGGCTTCAGTTTTGCTCCGCGTGTCTCCTTCATTCCAAGACCCAGGTTGAAGGAAAAATGCTATCTGAGTCACTGCCATCCTCAAGGCAGAAAGCAATGGCAGAACCTCGTGATGGCTTTTACATGTCCTGCTCAGTGGTGGCATACATCACTAAACATCATTGCCGAGAGCAAAAAGCATGGCCCAGCTAAAGGCAATGAGGGTGGGGAAGAGTAATCCTCTCACTAGGAGGCCAGCACAGAATTGGGGGCAATCATACAACCTACCTCAAAGCCACTTTTATACTCTTCAAGATATATATATAATTTATTATGCTACATATATGCTCTCTCTCTCTCTCTCCTCTCTCTCTCTCTCTCTCTCTCTCTCTATATATATATATATATATATATATAAAAATGTGTATTTTTTTTTTTTTTTGTAGACAGGGTCTTGCTTTTCGCCCAGGCTGGAGTGCAGTGGCACCATCATTGCTCACCGTTGCGCAGCCTCAACCTCCCTGGCTCAGGTGATCCTCCTGCCTTAGCCCCCTCAGTAGCTGGGACTACAGGCGCAAACCACCAACACCTGGCTCATTTTTTTGGGTATATTTTGTAGAGACTGGGTTTTACCATGTTGCCTAGACTGGTCTTGAACTCCTGGGCTTAAGTGATCCACCTGCCTTCGCCTCCCAAAGTGCTAGGATTACAGGAATGAGCCACGGTGCCTGGGCATATTGTTTATATTTTTGAAGCTTTCTCCAGAATCTGTATTGCATTTTGCTATTAAAATGAGATCCCACGCTTGAATCCGGGAGGTGGAAGTTGCAGTGAGCCAAGATCGCGCCACTGCACTGCAGCCTTGGCAACAAGGATGAGACTCCATCTGAAAAAAAAAAAAGAAAAGAAATTCCATATCTCTAATTTGTTATTAGTGTAGCTGTTAATTTTAAAAATATGTATCTTGATTTTTAATGTGGTAAAATACACAAACATAAAATTTACCGCCTTCACCATCTTATGGTTTAGTGGCATTAAATGTGTTCACGTTGTTGTACTTTCATCACCACCATACATCCACAGATTACTTTTCATTTTGCAAAACTGAAACTTTACACCCATTAAAGAACCCTATTCTCCCCTCCCTACAGCCCAACCACCTACCATTCTACTTTCTGTCTGTATATTTGACTGTTCTAGATGCCTCATGTAAGTGTAATCATACAGTATTTACCCTTTTGTTGCTGGCTTCTTTTACTCAGCATAATATCCTCAAGATTTATCCATGTTGTAACATGTCAGAATTTCTTCTTAAGGCTGACTAATTAATTCCATTGTTGTGTAAGCCACATTTCGTTTATCCATTTATCCATCAATGGACATTTAGGTCGCTTCTACCTTTGGACTGTGGTGAATAATGCTGCTGATGAACATGGGTGTACAGCTGTTGATTTTTAAATATTTGTCTTATGTATAGTCTCATTATTTGAATGTGGTTTTTTTGGGAGTTGATTGCTTTTATTTTTCACCTTTTGGGCTGTTTATTCTATTTTTCTGATTCGTAAATGCCCATTAAAGACTATTTTGCTGACAATACAGCTTTCAAAATACCTCTACTATTTTGTCATCCAAGAATAAATATACTGAGCTATCTGATGGTTTGAGAGTCTAGAATGGAGAAGGCACACACTTTTTCCTTTTGGGGGGCCACTTGGCCTAAAAAGTATAGAACACTAAAAAAAGCCAATGACTCTCTTTAACCTCCCACTACTTTCAGTTATCTCCTGCATCCTGTATTGCTGCCCTCACACTATTTGGTTAAAAACATTCATCATTTTACTTTACTTTTTATTATGTGTGTGTGTGTTTTTTTCCATTTAAAAACCTTTTGTTGGCTGGGTGCAGTGGCACACGCCTGTAATCCCAACACTTTGGGAGGCTGAGGTGGGCGGATCACCTCAGATCAGGGGTTCGAGACCAGCCTGGCCAACATGTTGAAACTCCATCTCCACTTAAAAAAAAATACAAAAATACAAAAATGAGCCAGGTGTGGTGGCATGTGCCTAGAGTCCCAACTACTCTGGAGGCTGAGGCAGGAGAATTGCTTGAACCTGGGAGGCAGGGGCTGCTGTGAGCTGAGATCATGCCACTGCATTCCAGCCTGGGTGACAGCAAGACTCCATCTCAAAAAAAAAAAAAAAAAAAAAGCAACATTTTGTTGAGGAACAATTTATACACCATAAAATGCACAGATCTTAAGTGTATATTTTTCCGTTTTGACAAATGCATACACCTGTGTAACCTATAAGCCTATAAAGATATAGAACATTTTACTCTTTCAAGCTCCTTTCCAGTCAATGCCTCCTCCCCACTGATCGGAAGCAACTAGTGCTCTGAGTTCTATCACCATAGTTTAGTTCTTCCTGTTTTTAACCTTCATATGAATGGAATCAGACAGTAGGTACTCTTTTGTATTTAATTTCTTCATTCAAAATAATATCTTCTGGAAAAACTTTATTTGTTGCTCATACCAGCAGAGAATTCCTTTTTATTGCTGAGTTGTAGTCCATTGTATGAATATGCCACAATATGTTTATCCATTCTTCTGTTGTGGTCCTTTGAGTTGTTTCTAGTTATGGAATATTGTGAATAAATATGCTATGAACAGCTGCAGTGCAAGTCACCTACGGGGCGCTATTTTAACTGCTTTATCTGCTGCATCTCATTTACCCTCACAATTAAACTCTGTGGTTGATACTGTTGTTATCCTGATTTTATAACTGAGATTATTCCCATGTTAACCGTTAATTTACACAGATGATTCAGCTATTCGGCGGGACAGATTTGAACCTAGGCAGTCAGACTCCACAGATCTTGCTAATAAATAGACGTTGTGTGATGTAAGATGTTTTGGTCAAATAACGTTTTTGGGCTTTAGAAGGCTAGATATTTATGTAAGGGGTGTAACAAAGGTAAATCTATTTTGGTCTCTTTAGATTTCTTTGCAAGACTATGGAAAGGAAGTGGACCTCTACGCTTTGGGGCTAATTCTTGCTGAACTTCTTCATGTATGTGACACTGCTTCCGAAACATCAAAGGTAAAATGATCTCAAAGAAAGAATTAAATAAGAAAAATTATTGACTACTACCTTCAGAGTGCTGCTGCAGACAGTTCTTGCTCTCACGTGAGGATGGGCTTGAGTATATTAGTATCTGACTGCAAATGAAATATGAATTTTCTGTCTTTCAAGGTTTGGCAAAGACCAAACACTTTGTTAAAAACCAGAAACTTTGATCTTCCCTGGAAGGTAGTACATCTCATAAGACTCGTAAGACTTGTCAGTCAGTAAAATTTTATTGATTGACTGCTTTGTGTAAGACACTGTACTAAGTGCTATAAGGGTTGCAAAATAAACAAGCCTTGGCCGGGCACAGTGGCTCACACCTGTAATCCCAGCTTTGAGAGGCCAAGGCGGGCAGATCACTTGAAGTCAGGTGTTTGAGACAAGCCTGGCCAACGTGGTGAAATCCCATCTCTACTAAAAATACAAAAATTAGCTGGGTGTGGTGGCGCACACCTGTAATCCCAACTACTCAGGGGGCTGAGGCAGGGGAATCGCTTGAACCCGGGAGGTGGAGGTTGCAGTGAGCCAAGATCACACCACTGCATTCCAGCCTGGGTGACAGAGTGACATTCCATCTCTAAATAAATAAATAAATAAATAAATAAATAAATAAAGCCTTATTCTCAAGGAGCTTATTTTCTAAAAGGGAAGAGAATGCCGTAAGCATTTTAGGAGAAGGCATGAAGTCTGTGGAAGCAGCTGGGAGGGAGATCTTTCCAGCTGTAAGGACTTAGGTTTCATGGAGACATCTAAGCTGGGCTCCAAAGGATCTGTTGGCTTCTCATAGTCCAAAACAGAAAGGGTGATTCTAGCATGGAGGTGGGAATGTACGGAGTGTATTTGGGGACAGCAGGCAGTGTAAGTTGTATTGGAATATATAAGTTACAAGGAAGTAGTAGCTGGTGAGGCTAGAAAGATAGGTTGGGCTAACTTAAGGAAAAAATGTGGACTTTCTTGCTTAGGCCGTGGGGAGTCACTAAAGGCAGTAGGCAACAGGATATCCTACTCTTTTTTTTTTTTTTTTTGAGATAGAGTTTCACTTTTATTGCCCAAGCTAGAATGCAATGGCGCGATCTCGGCTCACTGTAACTTCTGCCTCCAAGGTTCAAGCAATTCTCCTGCCTCAGCCTCCCAGTAACTGGGACTAAAGGCATGCACCACCATGCCTGGTTAATTTTCTTGTATTTAGTAGAGATGGGGTTTCACCATGTTGGTCAGGCTGGTCTCAAACTCCTGACCTCAAGCGATCCACCCACCTCGGCATCCCCAAGTGTTGGGATTACAGACGTGAGCCACTGCACCCAGCTGTATATCCTACTCTTAAGCTCAGGAAAGGGAACTTTCCTGGAGTCAATAACCTTATCCTCTGTGAAACAGTTAGAAGTACCTATCACTTAGGGTTCCAAAATGCATGAAGGTAGATTGTGAAGATTATGCACTTAACACTTCACGTCATAATGCAAGGATGGTTATTAGATTGGGGGTAGGGTAGGAGACGGAATCCTGCTTGCTTCTTGTCTAGAGACTTTCCCAAAAATCTGGAAATATCCTACATTTCAGGTGTCCTCAGCCTTTAGTTCTGTTTGTTTTTCCTAATATATACCTATCATTTTTTTTTTTTTCAGTTTTTCAAAGACCTACGGGATGGCACCATCTCAGATGTGTTTGATAAAAGAGAAGTAAGCACTTGAAAATCATCAGAATTTTATTTATTTCAGTGTTTTATTTCTTACTGTTGACTCTCACTGTCATTGCAGAAAACTCTTCTAGAGAAATTACTCTCAAAGAAACCTGAGGACCGACCTAACACATCTGAAATACTAAGCACCTTGACTACGTGGAAGAAAAACCCAGAGAAAAAGGAACGACATACATGTTAGAGCCCTTCTGAAAAAGTATCCTGCTTCTGATATGCAATTTTCCTTAGATTATCTAAAATCTGCTAGGGAATATCAATAGATATTTACCTTTTAATGTTTCCTTTAATTTTTTTACTATTTTTACTAATCTTTCTGCAGAAACAGAAAGGTTTTCTTCTTTTTGCTTCAAAAATATTCTTACATTTTACTTTTTCCTGGCTCATCTCTTCATTCTTTTTTTGTTTTTTAAAGACAGAGTCTCGTCTGTTGCCCAGGCTGGAATGCAATGATCCAATCTCGGCTCACTGCAACTTCTGCCTCTTGGGTTCAAGTGATTGCCTCAGCCTCCTGAGTAGCTGGATTACAGGCATGTGCCACCCACCCAACTAATTTTTATATTTTTAATAGAGACAGGGTTTCACCATGTTGGCCAGGCTGGTCTCAAACTCCTGACCTCAAGTAATCCACCTGCCTCAGCCTCCCTAAGTGCTGGGATTACAGGCATGAGCCACCGCGCCCAGCCTCATCTCTTTGTTCTAAAGATGGAAAAAACGCCCCCAAATTTTCTTTTTATGCTATTAATGAATCAATCAACTCATACCTATTTATTAAATTTCTACTGCTTTTAGGCCAAAAAAAATAAGGTCGTTCTCTGCCTCACATAGCTTATAAGCCAGTCGGAGAAATATGGTACTCATAAACAAAAACAAAAAAAAGTGATGTACAACCACTTTGGAAAAACAATTTGGCATTATCTAGTAAAGTTGAATCCATGTATACCCATAAAACGGTCAGTTCTGTTCCTACATACATGCTTACAAGAATGTCCATAAAACCCTGTTTATAATAGCCAGAAGAACAGGGAACAACCATAATGCCCATCAAAAGAAGAATGGATTAAAAAAATTTATATTCACACACAGGAGTACTATATAGTATTGAAAACAATTGAATTACAGCTAAATGTAATAACGTAACACAATATAACTCTCGGGAACATAATGTTAAGCGAACAAAGCAGGTTTTCAGAAAATATATGCAGAATAATTCCATTTATATAAAGTTCCAGAGCATGCAAAACTAAATCATTTTCTATACGAAACCCAACAAATGTGATGAGACAACAATGGGAAGGAAGGGAATGAGAAATACTTAATTCTGGATGGTGGTTATCTTTCAGGGCAGGGAATTATGTGATTGGGGAAATGGACTTTCAAAGGTAATGGTAACTTCCTTAAACTGGATGGTAGGTCCACTAGTGTTTGCTGCATAGTTTTACATTTTATCTTAAATACATTTTGTATCTATTTTATCACCCGCTTTAAAGACAACTGTGCTGTAAGGCAGTGGCTAAAAACAGAAAATAGTCCATCGCGAAGGGTGAGATGGCTTTCTACTGAGCACAGGGCTAGAAGTGACAGCCCAGTGGGCCTTCCAAGTATATGCCAGGGTGTTAGATGAGTAGAGAGGAGACCACCCAGGAAGTCTGGACAAGGGGCCTGGCATGAGCTCTGGAGAAGAGATATTTGAGGAACACCGGGTACGCTAGTTTGTTGTCCTGAATTGCTGTAGAGAATGCTGAAAGATAATCTAAATCGCATCTTAGAAGACCCTGAAGGTTAATTTGAACTTAGGGCAATTGTTGTAGTTTGTTTTCTTATTGCCATAAATGGATACTTGAGGCTGGATAATTTATAAGGAAAAGAGATTTCTATGACTTACGGTTCTGCAGGCTGTACGAGAAACGTGGCACCAGCATCTGCTTCTGCTCAGGCTGCTTCCACCCATGGAGGAAGGTGAAGGACAGCGGATGTGCAGAGATCATATAGCAAGAGAGGCAGCAAGAGAGTGAGGGAGAAGGGCCAGGCTCTTTTTTAACAACCAGCTCTTGAGGGAACAAATAGATTGAGAACTCCTTGCTTCCCCTCCCCAGCACACCCCACCCCCAGGATGGCATTAATCTATTAATGAGGGATCTTCCCCCATGACCCAAACACTTCCCATCAGGCCCAAACACTTCCCACCTCCAACATTGGGATCAAATTTCGACATGAGATTTTGGGGGACAAACATCCAAACTATAGCAGCAACCAACTACCATTCTAAAACTGCCACATGAGTTTAGGATTTTAAAAAAGGGCCACATTTAGGTTAAGCAAAAAGTGAAAATACAGTAAGAGAAAATACTTTCATAAAGGCTTTAGAAAGTGTTCATAAAAAGCAGTTTATACATTTTTCACATAAGGTTCATCAATAGATGCTAAAACTATTGGATGAAGATCTGTTGTGGAATAGGAATCTTCACAAGGATTTAAATATAATCCTACAGAAGATATATCAATTATACAGGGAAAATGTACCTTTACAATGGTCACCACAATAACCAAGTGATTCAATTTAGCAGCACCCAAGGTGGAACATCCTAACATTATGCCCCTCCTGATGTGATTTAAGAATTTTACTTATTTAGTTTTCTTGCACAAAGTGTTAAACTGGAATTTAATCATGAGGAAATTATTAGACAAATCCTGAATGTAGTCATTCTATAAGATGATTGACTTGGGCTTCTCAAAAAGTCAGTGTCATGGAAAAAAAAAAAAAAGAGAGAGAGACTTGTAAGATCTAATGACCAAATGCAATGTTTGAATCTTCATTGTATCCTGGATATTCAAAAAGACAAAAGCTGGACGCAGTAGCTCATGCCCGTTATCCCAGCATTTTGGGAAGTCAAAACGGGAGGATGGCTTGAGCACGGGATTTCGAGACTAGCCTGGGCAACACAGTGAGTTCTCATCTCCACAAAAAATCAGAAAAAATTAGCTGGGCATGGTAGCGTGCATCTGTAGTCCCAGTTACTTGGGAGGGTGAGGTGGGAGGATCACTTGAGCCGAGGAGGTCAAGGCTGCAGTGAGCCATGATCATGCCACTGCATTGCAGCCTGGGTGACAGAGTGAGAGCCTATCTAAATAGTAACTTTTAAAAATATAAAGAAAACAACAACCCAGCAAACAGCTATAAAGATATCTTTGGGACAATTGAGAACATTTGAATATAGACTGCGTATTCGTTAACAATGCCAAATAACTGTTTTCTCAGGTGTGATAATAGTATATGCAGAAAATGTTTTGTTTTGTTTGTTTGTTTGTTTCGAGATAGAGTCTCACTCTGTCACCCAGGCTAGAGTACAGTGGCGCAATCTCGGCTCCCTACAACCTCTGCCTCCCAGGTTCAAGTGATTCTCCTGACTCTGCTTCCTGAGTTGCTGGGATTACAGGCACCTGCCACCACTTCAGGTTAATTTTTTTCTATTTTTAGTAGAGACGGAATTTTACCATGTTGACCCAGCTGGTTTTGAACTCCTGACCTCAGGTGATTCACTTGCCTTGGCCTCCCAAAGTGCTGGGATTACAGGCATGAGTCACCGTGCCTTTCCAAAAGTGTTTATTTTTAGGCAATGCATGCACAACTATTTAGAGGCCAAGTGTGTCATGATGTCTGCAACTTTCAATGTTCAGCAAAAATCAACATGGAGAGAGAAGGAGGACACACATGTGGTAAAATATTAGCCATTGAACAATTGGTAAATCTAGATGACAGTACACAGGTGTTTTTGTATTATTCTTTGAACTTTTCTGTAGATTTGAAAATGTTCTGCGTAGAGAGAAATCTTTTTTTTTTTTTTAAATCAGGTTGTAATGAGACTATATTCAAAAGAAACACTAAATGATGTGGCCAGTTAGTGAGAATGTAGCCTTATCTTTACCTGACCTCATTTTAATATTCCTACTCTGGCCAGGCATGGTGGCTCATGCCTGTAATCCCAGCACTCTGGGAGGCCGAGACGGGTGGATCCCCTGAGGTCAGGAGTTTGAGACCAACCTGGCCAACATGGTGAAACCCCCTCTCTACTAAAAATACAAAAATTAGCTGGGTGTGGTGGCGGGTGCCTGTAATCCCAGCTACTCGGGAGGCTGTGGCAGGAGAATCACTTGAACCCAGGAGGCGGAGGTTGCAGTGAGCCGAGATCGCGCCACTGCACTCCAGCCTGGGTGACAAGAGTGAAATAGCCTCAAAAAAAAAAAAAAAAAAAAGATATATATATTCTACTCCTATGAAATGAATATAGCATTTCTTAGCAACTTCTATTTATCTGTGAGTATATATTTTCTTGGCCTCAAAATTAAAGTAAAAAGTATCCTCTTTCTCAGAGGAGGACAGGGGCAAGAGCCTGGGACCTTATTTGCTAATTAAAATGCACACATACACACACACACACACACACAGAAATTTTGAGAGCCATTTTAATATAATTGCCTTATTAGAAACATACCTTTTAGGGAATGTTTGTCACTAAACCACATATTATTTAAATATGTACATGTTTAACATAAATACATACATAAAATTCACATGCATACTTAACACTTATGTTAAATATATTCACTGTATGTATATATGTACACAATATATGCATATATATGTGTGGATATGTGGTATGTGTGCATGTGTGTGTATGGCCAGCTACATGATTTGTGGGACTAAGGGCAAAATGAAACTGTAGGGCCCTCATTCAAAAATTAGGTGTGGGATGCTTCTAAGCACAGTCTTGTGGAACTGCACAGGTTGCATGTCCATGAAGCCATCTTGTGTGTGTGCATATATGTGTGAATATATATTTTATATAATATATATGCATGTATGTATCTGAGAAGAAATGTTTAAAAGACTACATACAAGCTTTTCCAGGTCTCTACTATATGTTAACTAACTAGAGACATAACTCACAACATCCATTGCCCACTGAGTGTTCACCATAATTTGAGATTCTTGGCATGTTAACTTTTCATTGCAGAATATTGAATAATTTCAATATTATTCATACTTATTTAAATTTTTTTATGTTCAAACATACACAAAAATAGAATAATGAAACTCTACCCATCACCCAACTTCAACAAATGTCAATACTTTACCTTTCTTAATACATCTAACCCCTTACTTTTCATTTGTTTCTTTTGGTGAAGTATTTCATTGTAATTTTTTTAAAAAAGAAACAGGATCTCACTCTGTCACCCAGGCTAGAATACAGTGGCATGATCACAGCTCCTTGTAACCTCAAACTCCTAGACTCAAGTGATCCTCCTGCTCCAGCTGCTTAAGTAGCTGGGACTACATGCATACACCACACACCCAACTAATTTTTAAATTTTTTGTGGAGATAGGGTCTTGCCTTTTTTTCCAGGCTGGTCTCAAACTCTTGGCCTTGAGCGATGCTCCTGCCTTGGTCTTCCAAACTGCTGGGATTACAGTGTCCGGCCCTACTGGAATATTTTAAAGTAAAGCTCAGGTGTTACATCATTGCACTTGTAAGTACTTTAAAATGTATCTCTAGCAGATAAAGTCTTTTTAACAAAACCACAGCATCATTGTCACACTCAAAAAATCCGCAAGATTTCCTTAATTATCATATAATGGTCTGTATTGTTTCTATCTCAAAAATACAATTTTCTTTGTTGTTGAAATATAGATCCAACATTGCATTTGGTTGATATGTCTCCTTTACTCTGTAACATTTACCCCTGTGTTTTAGATCTTCCTGGCTTTTATTTGTCCTGTGGAATTTCCTCCATTCAAGATTTGACTGATGGTATCCCCATAGTGTCCAGTTAGACCTAGAAGCTGGATTTGATCCTGGTTCATTTATTTTCTCCCAAGAATACTCCATAGGTGATGCTATATACTTTCTCTTGCATCATTTCAGGAGGAACATGATGTCTGATTGTTCCACTTTCAGTGACTTTAATATTGATCAGTGGGTTCTGGTGGTACCACCTACTACAAAGTTTCTCATCAATCTTTCACCTGATGGTTTTAGCAGCTATTGATGATTGTTGCCTGGATCCATTATTTCATTTCAGGGGTTGTAAAATAGTGATTTTCTGGTTCTGTCAAACCTCTTGCATTTATCAGCTATGATTCTTTAAGGAACTTTCTCTAAATCTGAATGGGAAAGATGGGATAAATATTTACAATTTTTAGAGTGAGTTAGTGCCCTAGCAACCTCCAAAGTTGACAAATGAGTATTTCTTTAAATCAAGGTATGGCCCATCCAATACTTTGAAACCAGCATGTTTAGAATGGAGCAGGAAGAAACTACATTTGAAAGGTCAGAAAGTGGAAAGACTAAGAGGGCCTGAACAATAAGAGGACAGAACCAAGAGGAGTTGGCAACTAATTGGATGTGGGGATTAAGGAAAGGTAAGCATCAAAGATTACCTCCAAGTTTGTTAGAAGGTGAGTAGCAGGATTCTGATGCCATTAAAGTAAATACAGGTCTCAGTCAAATGAACCCCAAGTGAAGGGGTGGCCTGCCCCTCCACACCTGTGGGCGTTTCTTGTTAGGTGGAACGAGAAACTCGAGAAAAGAAATGAGACACAAAGTATAGAGAAAGAAAAAGTGGGCCCAGGGGACTGGCACTCAGCATACAGAGGACCCATGCTGGCACCGGTCTCTGAGTTCCCTCAGTATTTATTGATCATACCATCTTAGAAAAGGGAAGTGGCAGGATAATAGGATCATCGTAGGGAGAAGGTCAGCAGTAAGACATATGAATAAAGATCTCTGTGAGGTAAGTTTAAGGAAAAGTGCTGTGCCTTCATATGCATATGTAAACATCTCTATAAACCTTTTTAGTGCATAAAGAGCAGCATTGCGCTAGCAAGTCCCACCTTCAGCCCTAAGGTGGTTTTCTCCTATCTCAGTAAACAGAACATACAATCGGGTTTTACACCAAGATGTTCCACTGCCCAGGGATGGTCAGGAGACATGCTTTTCTCTATCTCAACTGCCAAGAGGCCTTCTTTCCTCTTACACTAGTCCTCCTCAGCACAGACCCTTCACGGGTGTCGGGCTGGGGGACGATCAGGTCTTTCCCTTCCCACAAGGCCATATTTCAGACTATCACATGGGAGAAACTTTGGACAATACCTAGCTTTCCTAGGCAGAGGTCCCTGCAACCTTTGGTACTTGAGATTAAGAGAATGGTGATGACTTTTCACAAGCATACTGCCTTCAGGCACTTGTTTAACAAAGCATACCCTGCACAGCCCCAAATCCTTTAAACCTTGAGTCACCACAGCACATGTCTCTTGCAAGGACAAGGTTGGGGGTAGGGTCACAGATTAACAGCATCTCAAATACAGAACAAAATGGAGTTTCTTATGTCTACTTCTTTCTATATAGACACAGTAACAGTCTGATCTTTCTTTTCCCCACACCAAGAGCCACATGTATTTGCGGGGTAATTTATTTGTCTCACGCTTTTACCTGTTTCATGATTTTCAGTAATTTAGAACTTAAGCGAGTAGTAGGGCCACTGTATATCTATCAACATGGTGAGGTAGAGCACGTTTGGGAGGGAAGACATTGAATCCCATTTGGTGACGGTGAGCTTGAGGTGCTGCCAGAACATTGCATGGAAGATAGGAGGAGACTGTAGAAAATGCAAGACAGGAAAGGTCTCCACTTACATGTTAACTGTTTCTCTCTAAATGGCCATCCAGGCCTCAATGTCTACAGTTCTTGATCTGTGATTACATTTCTTGAAAATAGTCAT